CAAACCCATTGGTCAGTGTTTATGAATATGTAAGTCGGAATTTTAAAAATCCAGAGTAATAGGTTAAGTAAACAGTCATTGTCTCAGATTAACGAATGTTAAATCACCATCAGTGTGTGAAATGCTAATTGGAGGCCCTTTTCATCTCATTCTTGTCTAAAGAACTGAATTTGCACAGTGTTAAAGCTGCAGATTCTCTCCTGCAACCCCCCAACCCCCCTTCACATCCCACTGCCACGGTCGGTCCCCCCTTCCTCTGAACCCCAGCCGGCTGGTCTGTTGCCTCGGAGTGAACTTTCATAAGATAGTTTGAGTGTCAATCAATCAATCAATCAATCTCAGAGTCTGCTCACATTCTTCTGTGGAATAGTCACTTCTAAGAGAAAGAGGTGTGGCTTTGTGGTCTGGGAATGCTCAGCCAGGAACATGGGGTTCTCTTATTGGAATTAGTTTTTTTTTTTTTTTTTTTTGTATCTCAAATCACACTAACAATTTTTCGTCAGGACCCAGTTTACTTAGTTTAGAAAGCAGGTTATAAAGATCTAGTTTACTAAATATTGAGAACTAATGAACACATTAAGTGTTTTGTGATGGATAAGGACATGAGCACAACTGAGTTATTTTTATACACTGATTTTTCTGAAGAAAAAAAAAAAAAGACCAGTTTTGACCTTTGGAAAAATAGCCTGCCCCCTAGTTTCAACTTCATTATTGCAATATTTTTATTTTTCTAAATGAATATTTTCAAGTTAACATGTTAAGTGTTTTACACAATGTAAATAAATTTGCTCTCAGTTGCATTTAAATGTAAAGAGGTAATCTCTTTGCTCTTTCTCTGTGACTCAAGGAAATCCTTCCTGGGGTTCTGTGGGTTGTGAGGATGGAGGCACTATTAACCTTAATGTCTTAGGGATAATATTAGCACGAGAGTGTTCTAGAGTCAATGTAAAGTAGAAACAGGGATGCCTGTTTTAAAATGGGGAAGGCTTCCTAGAATAAGATACAGCTTCCAGAAAGAGAAAATTGTGCAAACGTGCTCAAACAAAATAGGATGTGTGTAGGGACCAAATGATTACCACTGATGGTCTATGTCTGAAATGAGAAAGCTTCAAAAATCATCTGCAAGTGTAAAGGCTCCATTGTGGGTGGCCGAGTGGGTCAGTAGTCCCTATTCAAATGGAAGTCTCCTAAAAGCAACCAATCACTTATGAGGTTAAAAAAGCGCCTTTCAAAACGTGTCATGATTCTTTACATTATGAAGCTTTTAATTCCCATCTCTCCCTTCTCTTCTCAAAAGCGAGAGCAAGACACCTGATCTTCAACCCTGTGTCTGGGATCTCAAAATTGGCTCTGAATATGTGTTTCAAATCTCATTAATTACAATATTGGTCCCAAGAGGTACAGCTGCAAAGAACACTGTTTGTACTCAAAATAATTTGAACAAGGGCAAAGAAGCATTTTATTTACATGTGTAAACATTAAGAGAGAAGCAGTACGGGCCGGCTCAGGTAGCTGCTGAGAGTTTTAATGATAACTGATTTGGTTACTTATGCTTCAAGGTCACCTCACATAGGCACATATTCATATAAAATTCGCTTCTATTTCGTGGGTGCTATCACTCTTGCGGCGGTAACTCTGGCATTAATTTGGCAAGTTCTGAACTAAGGCCTTTTAACATTTTATTCTTTCCAGATACTAAGACCAAATTGTTCTGAACCCTATATCTTACTGTGTAGATCTGCAATTTGGTGTTTTAAATGTCTGAAAATATGCCATTACCCACAAGACTTTCTAATGTAACAAATTTGGTGAAAAAAACCAATCACATGAACACATTACAGTAATAGACAGCAAATAGTGTCTCCAATTTTCCTTCTTCATTTTCTTTTCTCTTTAGGACATATCAGGGCAAGTTGCAACTCTTTGTGGTCCTGTGTTATCAGAACACAACACCTAAGAGCGTACATCCTCATCCTGTTAACGACTGTTGGCCTGGAGGTAGACAGTCAAGTGTATAATAAAGATAACTGAGTGCCTTACAGGAGGAGGGTCATCTGCAATATACCAGAATAACCTAAACGTCTTGCTTTAGCATGGGATTGACCATCTAAAGCAAGCAGCCCTAGTTATATGTCAGAATCATTTGGAAGCTAGACTGTGAAAGTGCTTGGGTCCCACTCAAGGTTGATTGATATTCTGTAAACAAACTCACAAACACAGACAGGAGAATCACCACTCAACACCAGTTTAAGAATAATGGCTCATTGTTTAGACAGCACAAAGTCCATTTTTGGTTTCAATGGGAATCTTTCCCTTCTTTTCCAGGTGTAGGAAAAGGGTAAGTTCCTTGTCATACAAAGAAACACTTGCAAAGTGAAAGTTACTTGGCCAGACAATATCAATCTCTCAATCTCTCTCTCTCTCTCTCTCTCTCTCTCTCTCTCTCTCTCTCTCTCTCCTGGTGTCCTGTGACCCCCAAATGACCTACTAAGTAGCCGTACACCTAGCCAAGTGGCTTCTTTTATCCCTGACAGCAGGTGTTGACTGTATCTCACTCTATCAGTGGGTGCTTGATTTACATACAGTCTGACTTGACTGTCTAACTGGTATGAAGCAGAAGAGAGAAGGTCAGGAAATATAGGTCCTTGTGAGGTTTAACTACCTTTGGTAGAGAAAAACAAAACGTTTCTGACTCAGTTGTGGGCCTGGAAGTAGTTCAGCAGTTGCCAGAGGTCTCTTCTTGACATTATTCTGAGCACTATCACACATGCAGTGTTCCATGGGTGGCATGGAGCCTTACGATGGTAAACATTTTCTGGGCTAAAGCTAACAGAATATATTTGATAACAACTCCACAGGCTAGCCTTGGAGGTAACGTTTGTGAATGGTAGCAACTTTATACATATTTGAGCATTTTGAACAAGTTTTTTTGGAAGAGAGGATTGCTGGCTGGCCGGGCTCCATTTCTTCCAGTTCTTCACAGACCATGAATGCAATGTTTCAAGCACCAAATCCCCGCAGGTTATTAGAACCAGACGGGAGAAGGAACATGCAAGCTGTATCTCAGCCACCTTTGTGGGTCGTTTAAAACATAAAGGAAAAACTATAGTTTGAAATGGCAAATTATTTCTCTTTGGAATTAATCTAGTTAAGCCAATGTTACCTTGTATATTTTCTTTATACTCACTTCTTTTATTGGCTTAATTATTGCCTCTTCTATAGAAATGTCTATTTTTAAAAACCATGTCTGCCCTCTGTGATTTTTGTCACGTTCATGCCTCTTCCATCGAACTGTGTCTCCTATTCTTTTTTTCTTTTTATAGTTTACTCCACCTTCATTTCCCTCAACAACAGCGGAAGTCCGCCCTCTTCATTCCCCCCACTCTTTGATTGACGTTTAGTTGCCAGCCCGTTTTTTTTTTTTTTGATTCTCTCCCTCTGTCTCACTCAGTGCCCTTCCTTAACCTTCTGCTGTTTTATTTCTGTCACTTGCTATCAGAACCCAAAAACTCCATTTCTTTCCTTTCCATCTATCTCTGCATCTCCATATGCATTTTTATGATCCTACTGTTACATGCTTAAAGCTGTGCGCAATAGAAAGGTATACTTCCTCATTTGAATGTTATTTCCTTTTCTTAGCATAACTGGTCCTCCTCCCCATTCATCCTTTTCTGAGGTCTTCGTGTCCTACCCCAATGGCACCTCTCTTCCCCTGTCACCTCCCATTTGAAGCTCATCTCTTCTCTCAACCCTATTTCTACTGTGTCTGATTTTACAGCCAAGGCTCTTTAACAAAATAAAGGATGGAGTCTATCAGAAACCAGGTTGCGTGTGTCTGGAGAAACTTTTGCGCATTCACTGAAATGAGATTAGGGACTTGGATCCAAAAATATTCTCGGGGAGTTTTCAGCGTGGGCACAGGTTTGCACACCTTGAGCTCTGCGGCCTATTCTGCTGGGCAAATACAGGGATGTCTTTCAGGGCCTTCTCTGAATCTTTCCAGTTCAAGGGTCAAACTGAAATGACATTGCCCATCCAAACTATTAAAGCAGGCCGAGTAGAGAATGCCTGGGCCCCGGATCTGCTGCAGATCTGTGCAGAGCACTGGCAAGGAAGGGACCAAGGCCTTGGGCCACTACCGTCCCAGGAGTCGGTCTCTTGACCTCTCTGAGGGTGTATTCCCCTCTTAGGAGGCCGACACTAGGGAAGGTGCCCCTTTGGGATGCAGGGCTTGACTTCAGAGCCGGCGACAGTACCACGGCGGCGGGCGCCCCGAATGGGAGGCACAGTGCCTCCCGGGGAGGGACGGAGGTTCGCTCAGTCCTTGAGCCAGAAGGTCGAGGGTTCAGAGCGGGCGTCCCCGGCCTGCTGGTCCTCCGGGAACGGGACTGGGGCGACATCCTAGACAGGAGGGATGAGATGAACCGCGGGTACCGGCGCGGGGTGCCCGGCCGGAGAGGAGGTTGGCGGGACCCCAGTGCCGGGGCCGCGGGTCTGTCGGTGGACTCGCCGGGCGCCCCGAAGTCTGGGCCGCCGTGACTCCCGTTCCGCAGTCGCTGCCAGGCACTCCAGGCCGCACTTTCCCCTCCTCCCCGCGCCTTCTCTCCAGTGAGGAGCCGGGCGCGGGCGGCGCGGGGGGCGGGGCGGCGACGGAGGGAACAGCCAGTTGTTTAAAATCCTTCTAGAGCAGTTTCTAATTCCCCCCTAGCGCCCGGGTTCGGAGGGGGAGGGGGGAAGGAGAGCGGGAGGGGGAGCGCGGCGGAGAGGGAAGGAGGGAGGGAGGGAGGGAGCCGGCGAGGGAGGGAAGGAGGGAGGAGACTGCCGCTTAGGCCGAGCCGCCGCCGCGCGCTCCGGCAGGCCGGAGGGAGGGGAGGCCTGTCAGTCTCGCGCGTTGCCAGGGCGAGGAGGGCGGAGCTCTGGCGTGGGGCGGCCAATGGTGGGGGTGGCTGCGTGGGTCGCCATGGGGACGGGGCTGTTCCCGGGGAGGCTGTGATGGGTTGACAGGTGCGTGACAGTGGGAGCTGCTCTCGGCACAAGCATGTACGGCAAAGGCAAGAGTAACAGCAGCGCCGTCCCGTCCGACAGCCAGGCCCGGGAGAAGTGAGTGTCTCCGCGCCGCAGCCACCTCCGCCTTCGCACGCGCGCACACTCGCGCACGCACTCGCACTCTCCGGGAACCGCAGCCACACGGCCGCCCCGCCGGGGGGGTAGCCGGGGGTGGGTTGCAAGGGGAGGCGCGGGGCGGGGGCGCGCGGCCCGGGGGAGCGGCCGTCTCCACGGGGGAGCCCCCCGGGCGGGTGGCCGCGGGCAGCCAGCGGCGGGAGGGACGCGCGTGGCGGGGGGACGGCGGCGGCGGGGATGGAAACTTGTTTGGGTGGTTGAGGGGAACCACCCGCGGCTTCACCTCCTCGCAAAGTAACTTTGGAGCTGTGGTCCAGGACGGCCGGGCCGCGGCGCGCGGCGGGCCTGGGGGGCGCGGGCTGCGGGGCGCTGGGGTCCGGCGGGGCCGCGGCGGGG